TCATCGCTCAAAAACTCCGGCGTAGTGTGGACGGAAGGCATTACTATAGCAAAACTTGTGGGTTTTAAAATGAAAACACATTCGTGTAAACGGGGCCTGTAGTATTGGTAATGTTACGAGAACCAGCGATCATTCTCCGGAGATCGCTGGTTTCCACTATGCTTGGACTACACTTCCGCATATGCCAGGACTACATTTTCACACATGCACTTCTCCTAGACACCCATGCTCACTCATCTGCTTGATTACACTCACCACCTGAACCTTGTCATAGACTGATAGCAATCCATACATAAGCCACTGATGAACCCATCCAGTTTGCCGAGTCTTGTTTGCTTTATTGTGACATTACAACGCGTTTCCCTGTCTTGTTTTCTCCGTGTTAGACCTTAGCCCTGTATTCCCTGTTCTCCTGTTTAGCCGCCTGCCTTGTGACCTGTTGCCTGATTTATGACTACGATTTTGGATTTGTCTGTATATACCCGATTGTACCCGGTCGTTACCGATAACTTGGTAACCAACAGTAAACAAAGCAAACAAAATGGAGTCAGCTGATTAGTCACATGGGTGTGATGTCAGAGTTTATTGAGCAAATGTTTTTCAACATCAAATTATTCACATTAACCCTTTTTCACACAAGACCAAAACTAAAACAAGTGTAAAAACTGAATGAAGGCAATTTTATTAAAAATTCAGTGTTCCAGGACTTGTCTGGTAACAGCAATTTTCTAATCAACTGTTTCCATTTTTTGGTCATAATCTGCAAACCTAACAAATAGCTAATTGACCTTATTCTGCAATGAGGTGGGCTTGCTTTGCGTTTGTGTTAAAACTTAGAAATAATACTTTCGAAATGACGAAATAATAAACGACAGAAATCGAACTCTACAAACAAGTGTTTTCATGACTATACATAAAAATAAGAGGAATATAATGGGAAAATATCAGTTTGAAGCAGCATATTGAGCTGTTTTCAACGGCTAAAAATCAATAGTAGAGAAAGAGACCGGAAGTCTTGAGCCAAAAAGATTCCAATGTGAAGATTCTGCTCGTATGTGAAGAAAGAATAAGGTCAATATATGACAGCACTGAACAAAGATGATATTCAATCAACATTAGCACTAACACAAGAGCTGATAATCAGTACAAAGACAGTAAAGAGGGCCGCAATCAGCCAATCACACACATACACACGTCTCCCAGAGCTTTATCTCCTGCAGAACAAACACACATTTCCTGCAGAGAACACACAACGCTTTAGCGGGCTCTGAGTGTCTGATGTGAACTGAATATCCACTGGAGGAGGAAAGAAAAGCGCTGGAGAGAAGGACACAAAGTCAAAGATAAGACTGCCAATTCCCTTCTGAGAACTCCAATCTCTACTGCAAACACTATTTGCATTATTATTGCAAGCCATTTTAATGTTGAATCCAGTAAACCTACAAGTATCTGTGTTGGAGCTACTGTTACTAATTGTTTCAAATACTCTATTATCTTTTCTGTTTATAGCTACTACTCATTCAAAGAGACTAGTACCTAATAAATAGACAATAGTTAATATTCATTAGATGCTAGTGCCTATTGAAGTGTCTAACTGGGAACTATTAATATCTGATTAATATTAGTATCTGATTAGATACTAGTACCTGTTCAGAAGGAACTAGGTCTAATGATTTGATAGTACTTATTCATTTAAAACGAATATATGTTTAATAGACAATAGCAAGTAATCATTAGATAGTAGTTCCTATTGAGTAACAACTAGTTCCAATTATTAAATGCTAGTACTCATTTGAACAAATTCTAATAATTAGATAGTAGTACTTATAGTTTGAAACTAATACCTATTAAAAAGACCATAGTAATTATTCATTAGACACTAGTGCCTACTACAGAGACACTAGTATTTAGTAGGAACTATAGTCAATTATAGTTCTAATCAACTATAGTTAATATAATTGAAAGAGTTCTACTCATTAGATACTAGTTGTGTCTCTGTAATTGACAATAGTAATTATTCAATAGATATTATGGCCTATCACAGAGACACTGTTATTCATTAGATACTGTTACTTATTCAGTAGGAACTATTTAGAATGGTCAGATGCTAGTACTTATTTGAAGTTTTTATAGTCATTAGATATTCATACTTTTTCATTTAAAACTACCTACTGATAAATACAATAATAATTTTTTTTTTTTTAATATTAATGCCTATTACAGGGACACTGTTATTTGTTAGATATTAGTAACTATTCAGTAGGAACTACATCCAAACAGTAGTACTTTATCGCAATAGTTTTACTCATTAGATACTAGTAACAGTGTCTTTGTAATTGACAATAGTAATTATTCATTAGATACTAGCGCCTATTACAGAGATACTGTCATTCATTAGGTACTATTAACTATTCAGTAGGAACTATTTTCAATCATTAGACGCTAGTACTTACTTGAAATATTTCTAATCATTAAACACCTGTACTTATTTAGTTGAAACTAATAGCTATTAATAGACTATAGTAATTATTCATTATATACCAGTGCCTATTATAGAGACACAGTGTATTCATTAAATACGAGTACCTAATCAGTAGGAACTAGTTCCAAAAATTAGACGCTTTTACTCATTAGACTAGTAATAGTGTCTCTGTGATGAACAATAGTAATTACAGGGACACTGTTATTCATTAGGTACTATTACTTATTCAGTAGGAACTATTTTGAATAATTAGATGTTAGTACTTATTTGAAATGGCTCTAATCATTAGATATTAGTACTTATTCAATTGAAATTAATACCTATTAAATAGACAATATTAATTATTCTTTGAATATTAATGCCTATTACAGAGATGCTGTTATTTATTAGATACTATATTCAGTAGAAACTAGTTCTAAACATAACACACTTAATTGCAATAGTTTTACTCATTTGAGCAGTGTCTCTGTAATAGACAATAGTAACTATTCATTTGATACTAGTGCTTAATACAGGGACACTTCTATTTATTAGATACTAGTACATACTCAGTAGGAACTATTTTGAATCATTAGATGACAATAATACCTATTTATTAGAAACTAATACACATTGAATAGACAATACTAATTATCCATTAGAAACCAGTACCTGTTAAGGAGACACTGGAAATTGTTCATTAATTACTAGTACCTATTCAGTAGGAACTAGTTCTAATCATTAGATGCTAGTACTTATTTATTAGAAACCAATACATATTATATAGACAAAAATAATTATCCATCAGATACTAGTACCTGTTATAGAGACACTGGATTATTAATTAAATACAATTCCAATGCAGTAGGAACTAGTTCTAATCACTAGATGCGAATACTCATTTATTAGAAACTAATACATATTATATAGACAATAATAATTACCCATACTAGTGCCTAATATTGAGACACTTCATTATTCATTAAATACTAGTACCTATTCATCTATTGTTAATCATTACTAACTAATAGACAATAGTAATACTTATTAGTTACTACCTCTTCAGTAGGAACTAGTGTTAACCATTAGATATGTGTACTTATTCATTAAAA